TGAACGTCGTTTTAGTCCGATTGTACGGAAGTACTATGAATGCAAGACCCTTTCGGGCTTTCAGAATGTGAAGTGGTTTGGCTGCACTGCATTTTCAATAGATATGTAATACCATAAATAGTATTGTATAGGTGGCGTTAATTACCTACGTCATTTGCGACCAAATATTTGATAGCCTAACTTTTGGATATAAAAATGCAGCAATGTAAACATACGAGCACTAGCTTGACGCGGTGTGCGAACCCATGATTAGAGCTGCCTCAAAATTTGCATGCGTATGCTGCAGCCGCGAACTGCAAGTAGCAGACAAGTTTGGTCGCTCTATCCTCATTATCGACACACTCTACCCAACGTCCGAAGCCGGTCGAAAGCGAAGCCTTCGGATGGGGTTTGCTTCCCTCGGATTTGTCGCTTCCTCTGAGATCTCAAAATGTACGAGTGCATGATTTACACAGCAGGAATACTCTCTTTGAACTAGTTTGTGCGAAACTTTTACATCTTCAGGCGAACCATCGAGTCAAATAATTAAATTAGTTTTTAATTAATGCAAAGAAAGATAGCAGCATACTTTAACAATATGACGTCAGTTAACCTTATCATGTCATAATATCGAAGTATGTTGGTATCTTGCATTAATTAAAAATGCTGGTCGCAGCCTTATATCGCGTGTTCATTCTACAAATAGCGATGGACTTTGCGTACCGTGTATATTTTGTCATTACCTGAGGCCTGGTGCTACCACTTTTTGTTTTACCCGTGCCCCTGTTACCCATCCATGCTACGCTTTACCCCGTGCGCGCACATATGTCAGTCAGTGTTAACAAATCAGTGGCCAAAGTGTTCTAATGTGTAATTCGTTCTCGCTGAGCTCCGATTGACTACCCCCCCCCTTTCCCCCACCCCTTCCTAAGAAAATGATGAGTGGGTGCCTGTAATCTTCTTCACACCGGCCACTCAGGCTCGGCATGTCGGAAGGGGTCTGTAGACACCAAGCAGAGACGGAGTCAGGCCACCTCGACGCAACTGTTGAGCGGCCGACCGCCCTGTATGAGATATCAATGCTCTAAATGTGTGCGAAGGACGCCTTCAGGTCTTATCAAATTCTGTTGGCAGGCCTGCATCACCATTGTTTAACATGTGCGTCAGTGTCACCTGGGCAGGAGTGGCCCAGCCTAAAGACCAGTGAGAAATGTCATGATTGGCTACAGCATGTTAAATTATTCCTAATTGCCCACTTCTCCATCATGTTGCACAGGGGCGCAGCCAGGGCTTTGGTAAGATGAGAGCGGGGGGGGGGGGGGTACAAGGATGGGAAAAGAACTTCCGGATGGTGAACCCCCCCCCATACACACACATACACACACACACACACAAACGGATTTGACGACTTTATCTCAAGGGCATAGGATTTTTTTCGGTTCATTTCTATGTTTAATTTAGTCATTTGGAACAGAAGCCTGCGAAGATACCAGAAGCAATCCTGTTCTTATTTGGAGTCATTAACTCAAGGAAGCGGGGGCGTTAAACGACTGCATGGAGCAGAATGCCGCCATAAGTTACACGGATTCTTTCTAGGCCGATAAAACACGGAAGTTTCGTCAATTTCCTCCGGATTCTATAGAGATATTGAGGACGCCATGTGAACGTTGACGATAGAAATGAGGTCAAAATTTGCGTAAAACGATTATTTGACCAACACATGTGCATCTGAGTGTTCAACCCCCAGGTCAGAATCGATTATCGAAAAGTTATATAACATAGTTTTGAGCATGCGCGGTCGCAAGTCAGACACAACAACTTTTACCCCATTCCCAGTCTTACAGACTGCGTGGGTCGCGCGGCGTCGGCCTGCTAAAATTGTATTAAACAAGGCAACCGCAGAAACATTTCGAAAAAAGCCTATTTAGAACAACAACGCTCACGGGTATTTGAATCTATCTCGTGTTTTACAGAGTACAAAAGGCACGCTTATACATGTGCGGCGTGTGTACCGGTCTCTGACGTCACTTCTCGCGAAAATAGACGAAGATAGGTGAACAAGTTCACACAACTTTAAGCCAAGCGCCAAGTCAGTCATGGCCATGCAGAACTGGTTGCCAGTCAGACAAGAAAAAAGAGAGTGAATAATGTATCGTCCGTAGACCTAACTACCGCAGAAGTTTGTCTTCCAGCGAAAGTCCTAACTTGGCACAGACGCAACGTCTAAGGACATTTTATTTCAGGTAGAGGAAGGAGTTGAGTGTTTTGCATGTGACCAGCGGTGGAAAGACTACATCTCAAAATTGCGTGATGGTAGCAACACACTGGTACTGCGACTGCACAGGGCCAACTTCAACAACAACTTCAACACGAGGTTACCACCAGCTTCAACAGATGCCACAGCAGTACCATCGAGACTGGCGAACGGACCTCGTGACGTCTGTGGAGGCAGACGCAGAAGATGGTAACGAAGGTCAGCCGCATCCAGGTCGTATTCCGAATCTGTCGTTGGGATTTCCAGATATCGGGATGAACTTTCCTGGACCTTCGAGTAAGGATGTAGAAGTTAGCGTGCATAAATTAAAGCATGACGTTCTGCGCACGTTCAAAAGGCAAAGGCAAACTAAAGGTCACTGCAGATCAGCGGAACCTCATCAGAGACCTTAGCAAAAATGATGATATAATGGTTTAGCAGAGCGATGAGTGTAAGGGTGTTTTAATCTTAGATAAGGTAACTTATGTGAACAGAGCTCAGGTTATACATACAGACGGAGACAGTCACGAAAAACTGAATAGGAATCTAGTCCCTCAGGTAGGGGCTAAGGCAAAAGAACGCTGAAGAGTACAGGTAGCGCGAAACTTTATGACAAAACCATTAAAGTTTTAACGTTTAGATACAATACAACACCTGTGTTCAATTGGCTGCATCAGTACCATAAGTCTGCAGTGCCCTTTAGACCCGTGATATTTCCGTGAGGTCATACTGAAAACACTTCGTGTCTTTTGGAGGCAATACTCAACCAACCCAGGTTTTGCTGTTGTTTTCTCCACGCATCTGTGAGCCACAGACTTTTTAAAAAGGTTTCCAAACATTCATAAGTAGAATAGTTACCAGAGGGCAGTATTTTCTTCAGTGTAGATGTTGTCAATTTACATGACAATATACCAATCAATGAGGCTATCGCTGCCGTGAAAGCTAAGGTAGACTAACATTTCCATGGAGTGTCTTTAGGATTGTGTCTTCTCGTTCGGAGATGGTTACTTTCGACAGAAATTGAGCATAGCAATGGGGAGTCAATGCGCTGATCCTCTGGTGGTAAAAGCTCAGACCAAGTTGGCCCTGGCCGGCAGCCAAACCGACTTTCCAAGCTAGATGCATCGATGATTATGTTGGGGTATGGACGGGCGGACAACATGCCCTGAGTGATTTCTAGAGCTCATGAACAATCAGCATCCAAGTTTAGCCTTTACGATGGAGCATACAGGGGACGGAGAGGAGTCCCACATTTGGACACACTAGTGACGGTAAAACGGAGGGGCAACCGCACAAGGTTAGAAATGGAGCCCTTTATCAAGCCAACCAACTCTGGTATAATTCTGCACTGCGAATGTGCATGCCCAACTTCCCCCAAGCATAGTATAATTCGCAACGTGTCCTATCGTGATCTAAGCAACTCACTAAAGTAGTGAAAAAGAAAAAAAGAGTCTAGATAACATACGGAACTTGCTGATGGGCAATGGCTATTCTCCATGATTGATAGGTAGAATGTTGGAACAGGTCAAACAATCTAGAGTACGTGGGGGATGGATGGTAGGAAACGGGAGCACGCTCCGTCAGGCAACAGATTCTTAATACTCTTTGCATAGATTAGTACTTGCCTTGGAAAATCAAGCATAGGATTAGAAAATCAAAACTGCGCGTACGCATAGCTTTGAAGAATGACAATGAGTAGGTGGTGAAAAATCTTTTATCTCGAAGGCTAAGTGCCTAGGGGGCAAAAGGTGCTCTCTATTTATGCCTGGGTTTCGAGGGGTTTTGCGCACGAAAAAGGTTGAAATCCAGGGAGACACGGACCCGTTACCCCTTTTAGGAGCCTAAAGTCATCTACAAAGCACAGGCCTGTCCAGGCAAAAGAATAAGTAAAACTTGTATTATTAGAAGTTGGCGACAGACCTAAACATACAGGACTTACCATGACCGATCATGCGAATGTGATTAGTGCCTTGATGTGTGATGCGTGCTAGCTAGCTGTTCTACCTTTATATGGGGTTTTGAACTGAAATAGCCGTGTTAAGGACCCTTTGATGCAGTTCACAGCCATGCACTTTTTCAGACCCAAAACCCTCTGGCTCCTGAGTTACACGTCCGCAAAAGTGGGAAATGTTTGTGGGGAGACTTTTTAAAGCCACATTGTCGTTGATGTCGTCATAGAAACGTCATACGATCGCCGTCATTTTACAGGCTGTTCTCAATTTATGGTCAAAAACAGCACGGCCGCCGATTCATTCGCGAAAGCAGTGATGCGGCACGTATGATACAATTAGTAGAAGATGATGGCTGTCAGTAAGATTTCGCTGCTGAGTGTGTGTCGCGAACGTAAGCGTGAGCACTGTCGGGTTGTACAGCACTCGTCAACGGAGCATTTTCCTTGTTTCTATGGAAGGGAAAAAAGAACGGCACTCTCTCGAATGGTATAAAAAAGAACACGCGACGGCAACTCTGTCGTTTTTCTCCTGCTGCCGTATTTCCCCTTCTTCTACTGACTCATTTTTTACAGACAGCTGGGTTGGCGCATGTGCACCGGAGCAATATACATATATGTATGTATATATATATATATATATATATATATATATATATATATATATATATACATATATGTATATACTACGAGATATCCAAGACACACCTGATTGACAAATTAAAATATTGAACACAAAATTGGGTCCTTCCATATGTGTCCTACAAGTGGAGGGAGCTCACGGTTAAATGCGGCGTTATAACCTAAATTATAAATTATAACCTGTGCCTAAATTGTGAGAAAACTTACAGTTTGACAGTCCCGCGGGCTGTGCAAGTGCGGGATCACACTTATTTGACGTAAGTGTGTGCATCAGGCGCTCTCAATGGGTATGGTCACTGGTGGTGCGTGCTTGTATTGATCTTAAAGTGATGGGGAGTGTGCGTGCGAGCTTTGTTCTTCTGAAAGGGAGCATTGTTTTGGTATTCTTTCAGTTTGATGACTCCTTCTTTTGTTTGAACATGACAAGGTAGTGATGCCAGCAAACCGGAAGAAACACTAGCACTTTCTATACTGCAGGGGTGTACAAAGACACCTTGCCACTTCATTACGATTTTGCCAACATTTTGAACCTATTGAGGTAGTAAGGCATGTGATTAATTCCATGCATGCCGTTATATTAGCAATTCACTTTGGCAGTAGCGGCAGCTCCGTGAGGCTCATCAATGCATATGCTTGGTATAAGCTTGCATGATGCGGGTTTGCAAAGTTGCTTTTCCATTAATAATTCGAAACATATAGAGATGCATTTTTACGGATGCAAATATTACTGTTTCAACAAATTTTGTAGGCAGGCAAGCATTGCTTGTAAGTGGTTTATGTCATAGTCACTGCAACTTGTGTGAGTTGCTGGGTGCTGGGAAAGATGGAAAAGTATTGTTGTTGCTTTCTTGGATGGCACTCAACAATATCTTTATCGTGAGCCTTGTGTGCACTGGCAGCTTCGTCACTGCCTTTCATTTCGCCCATCTAATCATAACTACATGCACCTGTCCTATCTTCAGCTTTGTGCAGTTAGCAGGTTTGCAGTGTTATTTCACTACATGTAATATTTTTTTGTTATACGTGTGCTATTACTTGTGTGAACAATACTTTTGAGTGGAGCATCCTGATGGCTGCGGCATGTTGCATGGCTGTGGAAGCAGAAGACATTGTTTACGTTTTGTCACCGACATTTTGTGGATTCCCAAAATAGGCCGAGCAAGCTGATGTCATTGTTGTGCGCTTTTTGGAAGTAATTTGTATACCGTGTCATGTGTTCTTCTGGTCAGTCATACTGTCAGACGCGGCGTTAATATAACAATGCACGCTCGATTCATCTTCTCATGATGAAATTTATTATGAAAGTAGCAGGGACTGCAGTACAACAACCGCGTCATTGTCCATTATGCCATGCCACAGAACAGCAATGAGGTGGTGCCACAATGACTGTTGAGCTGTGCCATTACACAATGTGCCACATTAGTTGACTACTGTATTTCAAGCCTATAAGATAACAGTTTATGATTTATGAATGACTGGCAACAAACAATTTAACACTGGCAAAGGGCTATCACCCATGAGATTGCCGCTGTATCACATGATTATATCAGCGTTAACCAGCGAATGCGTGAATAGTCCTGAGCAAGAAAAACATTTTGGTAGCTCAACCTCATCATCTTCACCATAGCAATGACAATACTTTGGTAATCAATTCATAGCAATGTTATAGATGTACTGTTTATCTTCGCATGTGACTGCATTTCCAGTTACAAATATTAAAGAAAGTAACGACTGTGCACATCATAAGATATCAATGTCAGCACTACAGCACTGCAGGCAAGCATAGGTCTACAATACAGTATTGACATCCTTAACAGTTCTTGACAGGATTCGGTGAGAGATTCATGGCACTGTACGACAATTTTCACAGTATATCGTGCTTTGATGTGAATAATCTGCCATAAAAGCTGGCGGTCGGTACGTTGCGTTTGTCAAACAGCCCACCAAAGCTTTTCCTACGATCAGTACTAAGACAAAAAATCTACAAACAAGCCATTCACTAAACCGCCATCCGACACAGCGCCCGCGATGAGAATGGCCGGCTGGCGTTAGCTTTCGTGCATTTGGAGCCATTCTTTAGGTCTGGCTGCCAGATGCTGTCGGGTGATGCCGTCGTCACAAATTGATTTCATGACGCCATCAAGCGATGACGTAATGGAGCGCATTTTTACAAACTCTAACATTTTGCTACTTAGGGTCGTTTTTAAGCCTTGAAAGTTTACCAATAGCTGCAAGTAAGTTTTTCCCACCATATCTGATGCTCACCTCAATAGCTTCAAAGGTGGAACATCCCCTTTAGAATCGTGTTCATGTCTGAGCGATGCCTGACGCGTGATGTTCGATGCCTGTTTATTGAATTCGTTTGCATGGATATAAGTGACACGTGGTGCGCGATGCCTGTTTACTTGCAGTTAGTTTCTTGAAGTCACTTGCATGCATGAATGATGTATAGCGTGATGCCACCTGTTAACTGGAATTCGTTTGCATGTACACGTATTTTTCGCGTATTTGAAGTCTAAGTCAGATGTACCTTGTATCATAGCAATGACTTGCAATTACTCCTCGTTTAATCCGCTGAATGTTGAAAACCTATAAAAATTGACGCCGGCGCCCGGCGCCCTCTGGCGCCGGACCGCTGACCCTCCCCTCGCCTGCTCTCCGCCGCAGTGCCGCCGCCCAAGGCCATGGTGCACGTCAACCCGGTGCAGGTGATCGTCGACCCCATCACCGTGCTGTGGCTGAACGCCTTCGCGTGCAACCTGACCAAGTCGCTGTCGACGGCCGGCTCGGCGCCGGCGCCGTACATCGACCTGCGCCTGGAGGCCATCATGCCGCGCCTGGTGCTGGAGACGACGCACGACTACCCGCTGCAGCGCGACCGACCGAGCACGCTCCAGCTGCAGACGACCCGCCTGCTCGTCTGCAACTACCGCTCGCCCGACCCTACTGCGCCCGGGTACGTGCTGCTGCACGGAGCCGGGGTATGTGCCCTGACCCTGATGGAATGACCAGAGTGTGTACTGATGAACGAGGTCCTGGCATGTACCGTTTTCAGGTGGTCTGGCGCCGGGGTGTTGACGTTTACGCAGTCTGTATATAGTGTGAGAATGTATCGCTTGCCGGACTTACGCAACCCTGATGTGTACCTGAAAAGTCGCGATGTGCCCCTGTAGAGGCAGCTATGTATGGCGCGCGTGACCGGCAGGTGCCCGGTGCGCGCCGCCCGACAGATCCACGTCACGTCTGTGTGTGGATGTCAGATCCCTGCCGGACGGACAAGGTGTGAGGCGGTCCGTGTCTGCGAGATGCCTCTGGCCAAGTCTGGCACCCGCTTCGGACTCCTAATCGAGTGTTTGTGTGTGATGTTCATGGCAGCGGCAGCTCCGTAGCATGGGCCTGGCTTACCGTCTCCGCTGGCACACTGGCGGGTCGGCCCGTTCGGACCCGCGTCTCCGCCGGCTCACTGGTGGGCCCGGCCTGTTCGGTCCCGCGTCTCTGCCGGGCGCTGGCGGGCCCGTCCCGTTCGGTCCCGCGTTGCCGACAGCTCAGCGGACCGTTGTGTGATCTCTGCGTGCGCGCGGCAGGTCGCTGGCCGGCCTGACCAAGTGCCTAGAGCGGCTGCAGGCCGGCGAGATGGCGTTCGGCTCCGACTTCCCGGCCCGCGACGGTGATCTGCAGATGGTGCCCGACCGGCTGGTGCAGCACACACTCGGTACGTCCCCGACCCCTGCCGCCCCCTGCCCAACCGGCTGGTGTAGTACACACTCGGTACGTCCTCGACCTCTGCCGCCCCCTGCCCGACCGGCTGGTGTAGTACACACTCGGTACGTCCTCGACCTCTGCCGTCCCCTGCCCGACCGGCTGGTGCAGTACACACTCGGTACGTCCTCGATCTCTGCCGTCCCCTGCCCGACCGGCTGGTGCAGTACACACTCGGTACGTCCTCGATCTCTGCCGTCCCCTGCCCGACCGGCTGATGCAGCACACACTCGGTACGTCCTCGATCTCTGCCGTCCTCTGCCCGAACGGTCTTTTTCCCCGGCCTCTGTCGCACCCATCCCGTTTCAAAGTCTTCCAATTAGGATCGCCGTTTTAATGGACCGAGATGTTCCAGGGGTGTTATTTTGCCACGGGCGCGGATAAGCGAATTTCGCCATGCCCTGGTCCGACTGACTGGCTGCCTACTGCAGCGCTCTAGTGCAGTCGTCCGCGCGCCGGACGTGTGCCGCCTGTAACGTCAGTCACCGGGGTACAGCGCGTGCGTTTCCTGTGAGCACGGTGACTGCCAGTGCTTCTGTCTGCGCTGCCGATCCCAAGCATGGCATGGTTTCGGCTCACCGGTTTGTTGGTTTATTTCTACGATGCCTCTCCCTCCGAGAGCCTGTGTTTGGGTTCGCGTAGGCCGGTGGCCAGTAGGCGTTTGTTGTGCAGCGGGCGCGTCTGACATGGAGACCGTGTCCGCCGCCGCCAGGTAAGGACCACGTGCAGCCGGCGCCGGCGGACGTGGTCGCCTCGGTGCCGGACTTCCGACGGGACCTGCCCGGCCGCCTGCTCTGGGAGGAGCCGCGCGACGTCGTCTTCATCCACATGGACCCATTCTGGGGCGACTTTTTCGGCACGTCGGCCGTGCGCCACCGGCCGGTGCCGTTCATCGACGCCATTCCCGTCTCCATGTGGGTGTACCAGAACCGCAACAAGGTGGCCAGCGTCAGCGACGGCCGTGTCAGCGATCTCACCATGGTGCTGCACGTGCCGAGCCTGATCAGCCTGCAGCTGAACCACTTCCAGTACCTGTTCCTGCTGCGCCAGCTGGAGCGGCTGTCGGAGATGTCGGCGCTGCTGACGCTGGACGCCGAGCGGCTGCTGGGCGCGGCCGGCGCCGGCAGCCAGTGTGTCAGCGCCGCGTTGCCCCAGCTCGACATCAGCCTGCTCATGCCCTGCCTGCTCTCCAGCAAGGACTCGTCCGGCGGCGACCTGTCCGTCTTTCCCGACTCGTCCAGCGTCACCAGCTTCCAGGAGGCGGGCCTGCTGCCGACGCGCGTCGACTCGCTCTCGGAGGTGACGGCGGCGCTGCTGCCTGCCGACGAGCCGCCGCCCGCGCCGCCGCCACCGCCGGCCGCCGCCGCCGAGGCCAACCACGTGTCTGCCGGGCCGGCGGCGGCGGCCGGCCGCTCGGCGGCGGCGCGGCCGGTGCCGACGACGCTGGTGAGCCAGGCGAGCGGCGCCGCCGGCTCGCCCACGCCGCCGCTGGCCGAGCTGGGCGCCGGTCTGAGCCAGGTGAAGCGCGGCCTCAATAGTTTCCTGTCGTCGTTGGACTCGGCGCTCAAGAGCCCCGACGACCAGAGCGACACCATGTCGGTCATGTCGGACATGTCGTCCGACTCGGACAGCTACGTGCTGCTCAACCTCGAGCTCGACAAGTCGGGTCAGTGCGCTCGCCCACCTGCGACGTCGTTAGTGTCTGTTTAAGTATGACATATGAGTAATTCGCTTGGTCTGAAGCACACGGTGTGTCATGCTTACTGTTCGGTGTGTGAAGGGAGCGGCGTGGCTAATGATGGATGTTCTCACTCAATTAAACTTCCATCCTCCACTGTTATCCCTTGGCGAGGAATAGCGTTATGTATGGCTGTACGTTTCACATGGATATGTCCAAGATGACCCCTGGCATCCGTTTGGTGAGCGCCGTCTTTGTGCTGAGGATGTGCGGCTGGCTCGTCTCAACAGCCAGTGAAAGCCCCGCTGCCGCTCTACTGTCCATTCAACACCGATGGGTCCACATTCTGATGGGCTATGGACGGTTGAGACACCCCAACTCGCGTATCCCTGTATTGTAAGCCGTTCCGAAGGTCACCTGGTCGGCTCAGTGTGTACGCTCTCCTCGCTGTGGTGGGGCGCGTGCTGATGGCGGCCGCTCGTCCTCCCCGCAGAGTCCGTGGACCCGCTGTTCGTGGTAGAGGGGGCGCTGAAGCGGGTGCCGTCGGTGGAGATCGCCAGCGAGGTGACTGAGGACACACACAGCGAGGTGTCGCTCTCCTCTGCCATGCGGAAGCGGGACGTGGTGAGTGAACGGACGCCGGACCGGCCCCGGCCGTGTGGGCTGCCCCTCCCCCTTTCCTCTTTGAGGGGAAACATGCACCGCGAGCTGTCGTGTTTACCCGGCGTGGCGGCGACCTGAAGCGTCAAGACGTCACGTCCGGTTTTCTTGGATTGAAAAAACGCGCTATCGTGCTAAAGATTTAACTATCTTACGCCGTCGTGTGACTCAAAATTTGTGTTTGTGAGATAGCTCAATATTTGTGACGGTGTTTATTCGTCTCATAGGCGCCTGGAAACCGGTCACCAATCAGTGATTACCTTGTTTGGTGGCTCTCCATCCCCACCGTCCCCAGCCGCCCCCTGACCTCCGGCCGGCCGCGCAGCGTCGCGTGGCCTGTTCTCGTAGACGACACGCGATTCTGATCTCGTTCTTGTAGACGTGTTTGCGGAAATTATATAGTGTTTTATTGCAGTCAGTCATAAATACTATTTCCCACGAGGAAAAGGAATGTATACAATTTAGGGATGCTGGACGTTGTTGTGTGTTTTCTCCTTGAAATGCGCATCCCACCGCGAAGTGATTGAAGCATTGTGCTACGTTATCTTGAATATATGAGCTAAGACCTTTTGCAGTCAAGTCAAGGAGGCCCGCGTGTTCCCGAAAAAAGCCTACAAGTGAACACCGCGGGGCACAGCGGCGCGTTACTGTTCAGTTTCGGCGAAACTGTCGGTAATATCAGCCACGGCTGATATTACCGACAGCCGACCGCGGCGGGATGTAGCAGGGCCATCACCTAAGTTGTAATGCCCCTGGGATTCTGGCGTCCCAGCATTGGGCTCGGCTTCACACTTTTCACGCTGTGGTTAGGCGACATATGACGGCCGACCCATGCTTGTGTTCAAGACCATTTCCAAGTCCCCACCGTCTCGCCATAGGCCGTGTCAGCAGGTGACCGCTGAACTCTGCCGCAACCATGCTGGGTCCCCCCCACCCCCCTGTCTGTCTGTGAGCCCTCTCTAGGGCCTGGCTCGCGCCGTCTGCTTGCCAGAGACCCGCCGGGTCCTTCCTCTCCGTCTGTCTGAGCCTTCTCCAGGGCCTGACGCGCGCCGTCTGTGTGCTCCAGCCCCGCCGGGTCCTTCCTCTCCGTCTGTCTGTGAGCCTTCTCCAGGGCCTGGCGCGCGTCGTCTGCCTGCCACAGCCCTGCCGGGTCTTGCTCCCCGTCTGTCTGTGAGCCTTCTCCAGGGCCTGGCGCGCGCCGTCTGTGTGCTCCAGCCCTGCCGGGTCTCCTCCTCCTAGTCTGTCTGTGACCCCTCTCCAGGGCCTGGCGCGCGCCGTCTGCCTGCCACAGCCCTGCCGGGTCTTCCTCCCCGTCTGTCTGTGAGCCCTCTCCAGGGCCTGGCGCGCGCCGTCTGCCTGCCACACGGCTACGTCACCAGAGCCCCCGTGCCGGCAGATCTCAGCTCTGACGCTGCGGCTGGGCCGCGTGGAGCTGGTGCACCAGGGAGCCGGCTTGAGCTCCTCCCTGAAGCTGAACATGCGCCACTTCGCGGCCGAACAGTGCGCCGCCATCGGCTGGGACGAGTTCCAAGTGAGCGCGAGCTGTCCGGATGGACCGGATTGCTCGTGGCACAGCTCTCTGCGATGTGTGGTGTCACTGACCACGTGCGAGTGGTACGTGTGACTGCTGATATGCGCACTGTGTACGTGTGACCGCTGATACTTGCGCGTCACTGGCCTTGTGTGAGTGGTACGCGTGACCCTGCTGACGTGGGGGGTAGTCGGCGTGGCCGGGCTGCGAGGAGCGGGTGGCCTCCCGGCGAGCCGCCGACCGCGTGCGGTGTGCTAACGCGCCCACCCTGGCCCGACAGGCCAAGTTCCAGCTGCGCACCAAGGGCTGGCAGGGCCTGGATGTGTCCAGTCCGCCCTGCAGCGTCCGGCTGCGCATGGACAGCACGTTCGTCCCCGTGGCCAACCAGCGGCAGCACAGGGTGAGGGGAGGGCGCGCGCTGGTGCCCGCTCGCCGGCCGAGCAGTACTGGCGGACGGCCAGCATGTTGCCGCTAAGCTCCACATCAGAGATTCATAAGCTCCACTCCATTGTGGTCAATTCTCTGGATGCGTCGTTGGGCCGCGGGTTATAGGGCGGTCTGCAGCGCGAATGTTTACAAAAAGGGAGGCAGAACAAGCCGGGATAGGTTGTGTAAGTGCCTTCTTTGGGAAAGGATTTGATTTAGAACAGGCCGTTGGGCTACAATTGTACAGCAAAGCTGTGTGGAAATGTGGCATGCGTGTTTTAGACGCAACTATTACCTTGCCTTTAACTGTTGTTGGAATGGCACGCGCGTGATTGACGTACTCGCCACTGACTGGCTCTGGCCTCGTCCCTCAGATCAACATCCGAGAGCAGGTGAGCAGCGAGCTGGAGGTGCGTGCCAGCGAGCTGGAGCTGGCTCTGCTGATGAGCACCGTCACCAACCTGACCGACTTCATCGAAGACGAGATCCTGCCCGTGCCACTGCCGATGGAGGTAAGGCTGCTGGCCGGCCGGGAGCCGGCCGTCGCAGCCGTCGCCTCTGGCCCCGGCATCGCCGAATAGACAGTGGGGGGGGGGGGGGGGGGGGAGGGTAAGGACTTTAATGTGCGCAGGGGCGAATATGGTAAGAAAGGAAGACAAATGATGTCTGTTTTGTCCGCCACCAAGAACATGTTATGTTGTGATCGCTACTCGCAGTCCCGGTACACCTCAGCATGCGAATTGCCTTCGTTTTACTCCCTGGCAAGCCTTGTTACCTGTTGGTGGTCAGTGGGCAGCCGCCCCGCACTGGGCTCATGCACCCACCGGTGGGTGTGGCACGCTGGCTCTCACAGAGCCCGACCCCATGCCACCCCCTCCCTCATGTCATGCCTGCTCCTCCACCGATCGCCCCCGTCGCCGCAGCTGTACCTGGAACATATCAAGCTTCGTCTCACAGAAGACCGGCCGCCCAACAACATCACGAGCCCGGGCGTGGTGCCGCTCGACCTGCGCCTGCCGGCCGTGCACGTCACGAGGGACGGCGCCGGTGTGTTCACCGTCCAGCAGCCGACGCCAGGTGAGCGGAGACGGCCCACGACCAGCGACACCAGAGGTGGCTCGGGTAGAGTGTGTTGGAGCGCACGCGTGCTCACCGTCCAGCAGCCGACGCCAGGTGAGCGGAGACGGCCCACGGCCGACGACACCAGAGGTGGCTCGGGTAGAGCGCGTTGGAGGGCACGCGTGCTCACCGTCCAGCAGCCGACGCCAGGTGAGCGGAGACGGCCCGCGGCCGGCGACACCAGAGGTGGCCCGGGTAGAGCGCGTTGGAGGGCACGCGTGCTCACCGTCCAGCAGCCGACGCCAGGTGAGCGGAGACGGCCCACGGCCGGCGACACCAGAGGTGGCCCGGGTAGAGCGCGTTGGAGGGCACGCGTGTTCACCGTCCAGCAGCCGACGCCAGGTGAGCGGAGACGGCTCACGGCCGGCGACACCAGAGGTGGCCCGGGTAGAGTGTGTTAGAGGGCAAGCGTGGATTAGTTATAGGCCCATCACACGGAGCAAGGTTAAGACGATTTTGCGCCATGCGTTGGGCGAAGTTTGTGTGCTGCCATGCATGCATTTCAGTGGACGGAATTTCGCTGTGCCGGTGCATGCGGGTGTGACCAGCAGTCTCGCCTTCAGATGTGTGTTTGGTTATAAGAAGGTAGTTGTAAACATCAGCACAGATCGCATGGCTGCTTCAGCTGATGTATTCGTCTACGTTCCTGGAGAGTTTTCCATCCTGAAGCAGACTCGCTACGTGGCTGGTGTGCTCGAGAAACCGATGCTGACTGGTGAAACTTTTGACGAGGTGGCGAATAAATGCTTCGAGCGGCGACACAGGCATCCGTGACGATGGCGCGCGGCCGCGCTGACCGACGCGTCTGCGGCGGCAGGTGGCGCTGGCGCCGGCACCGGTCCCTCCGGCTCCCGCTCGCTGGTGGACGTCGCCAGCTCGTTCAACAACCCTGCGTCAGGCTCGGAGGGCGAGCTGGGCCGGCTGCGGCGGCGCTGCCAGCTGCTGGAGGACCAGCTGGAGCAGCGGCGCGGTTCCGAGCAGCGGCTGAGCCAGCTGACCGCGCTGGAGGCCAGGTGAGACTGCCGTCGCCGCTGCCGCCGACGTCGCCGGACTGGCCGCGGGCGCCCGCTGGTGGCGCGTCGGCCGATGGTTCAGGGGCTGGGTCGGTCAGTGGTGCGCTGCGGGGATGGGACAGGTGTGATGCTTGTTTGGGTGGGGATGTTGTTTCGGTTGGGTACTCAGCCAGAGAGGTCGTCTCTTCGACCTGTTCTGGCGCGACCCCACCATCTGGCTGTCTCTCTCTGACCTGGCCTGATGTGACCCTGGTCTGGTCTGATGCTGATCCCGACCTGATATGATCTGACCTGACCTGACCTGACCTGACCTGACCTGACCTGCCTCCTGCCAGGTGTCGGGAGGCAGAAGACGAGGTGCTGGGCCTCCGTGAGGAGAAGGAGGTGCTGATGAAGACGCTGAGCTACCTCAAGCAGGAGTTCCTGCGGCTGGACACGGCGCACAGCCGACGAACCGACGCCAAGTAGCGCCGACTGTCCGCCCGGCCGCCGCCCCCGGCGACCCCCACAGGGGCGCGGGCCGCGCCTGCCCGGCCCGCGTCCGGCCAGTCATCTCATCGCCTGCCGTCTCCGCAGCCGCCCGCTGTCGGGCTAGTGTTCAACGCTGCGGAGGCGGCCCCTGTTTTTGTAGCGCGTTTGCCCTTGTGATATGTTGGCCCGCCCTCTGTCGGGCGCGGCCCGTCGTCACGCGAGTCTGTTCGGCGGCCAGTCGGCGAACCTCGCGCTGCGTTACGTCGGTGCAATATGCTTTTATCAATACTTGATCACGCTACGTTCAACTTCCGTCTTCCACGGGCGCGCTCTACGCGGGACTGGGTTCGGCGGCGGCGCTGGACGCAGCCGGCCGCCGTTCGGCTCCCCTTCTGTGATATATTGTTGCGTTTGTTGGCGCCGTTGCCTGTCCGCGGAGCCGGCGGCTGCCCGGCCGCGGGCGCACCGCCGTGCTGGGGCGACACTCCGAGGGCGGCCGTCTGTCGACAGCTGCCGGGCGGCCGCTGTGGTCTCACGCCGCCGCCGGCAGCCGCTGTGGTCTCACGTCGCCGCCGGCCCTCGCCGGCCCCACCGCACCTATGCAACGTGGATTGTTGTCGCACCTGCACTGGTCCGCTACCGTACGCTGTTTAACGCTTGATATTTGTACACTGTGCCTGCATTCATATCACAGTGTTGGTTCGTAGTGTGTCGCGTATTTATCCATTATCGAATAAAGTGTGTTTAACTATCGTTCCGATCGAACTGTGTCCACTGAGGAGTGGGGAATGTGGCACGAGCCCCCCCCCCCCCCCCCCACCACGGCATGCGACCTTGTCGTACCGCTTGGTGGTCATTTCAGAATGCGAGGCCCCACTTAGACGAAGCACCTTTTGGCGGCAATCATCTTCATATCTTTCAGTGGGAGCAGAAACAGGTAGCTGTTCCATTGGCGTCGGCAGCAGAGCATTGTATTAGCAGGTTGGATGGTTTGTTTTTAATTGCAGATAAAAAACAAGTCATCTGCCACAATACCTAAAATCGCAGTTGTGATGTCATTCAGATGGTAGCCAGCTAACCTCAAGCTATGTGTTCATCAGTGATAGACGCCTCGTGTCATGACTATCCTGCCACGTTGGAGTCCGGATCCTGTTCCGCACAACATACGGGCAATCATCTTTGTGTGGACAAAGCTTGTGATCCCAGCAACGTCCACCGACCGCCTGGCCAAGCCGCTCTCAGTCTTGGAGACCAGGCTGGTGCTCCGTTTACAGTAAGTACGCTTCGGAATCGTGATTCTGCTAAAGTGGATTTTACGAGACGGAGTTGGCGTTTTTCATCCCCCCTCTGTTTTATTCAAGGCGCACACATCCCAAAAGACACACGAGCGTCACAAGACACTCCAGCACCCATAACACAGATTACAATGACCCTGGCATGGCAACAGATGCCCTTCGGTTCCGTGCGAACAAACCCGGTATGAAGACTCGCGATCACGGCACCATCGACAGTTGCCTCTGGTGATCACGGCACCATCGACAGTTGTCTCTGGTGATCAGGGTACCATCGACAATTGCCTCTGGTGATCAGGGTACCACCAACAGTTCCCTATGGCACTTAGGGCACCATCGGTAGTTGCCTATGACGACCAGGGCATTATTGACAGCTCCCTTTGGCGATCAGGGCACCATGGCCATGTACCGCTCGCGCAGCACGTAGGCGGCCAGCTTGGGCTTTCGGTCGCGCGTGAACACGCCCTTGCTGCAGAACTGCGGCCTGATGTACTCCTGTGGCACGGCGAAGTCGGCGAAGTTCCAGACCATCTCGCCGGCGAACCAAGGGCGAGGCACGCAACCGGTCGAAGCCGCGGAAGTACTGGCGCAGGAACTCGGCCTGGTAGTCCTCGGTCCAGATGAAGGCCGGCAGGTCGCGCAGGCCGGCGACGCTGCCGGCGCCGTACTCGCTGACGATGAGCGGCTTGCCGAAGGTGCGCCGCCACGCGAGCGCCTCGGCCACGATCTGCCGCTCGATCAGCTCGGTGCGGCCGCTGTCCTGGTACCAGGCGAAGTAGCGGTTGATGCATATCACGTCCATGGAGGCCGAGGCGAGGTCGGCGTCGTGAGCCACAGACACCACGGTGGTGATGGCGCGTGTCGGGTCCAGGGCGCGCGTGTGGTTGTACACCGTCTGGAAGTACGGGCCGGCCGCTTTCTGGTCCGACTGGGGCTCGTTGCCAAGCGACCAGACGACCACGGACGGCCGGTTCTTGTCGCGGCCCACCAGCTCGGTCATCACGCGCTGGTGTTTGGCCAGCAGCGTCGGGCCGAAGCCCTCCAGGCCGATGGCCGGGCTCTCGTCGATGACGACGATGCCGGCGGCGTCGGTGCGGTCGAGCAGCTCCTCGGCGTACGGGTAGTGCGAGGTGCGGAACGAGTTGGCGCCGCTCCAGAGGAGTAGGTTGATGTCGCGCGCGATCAGCGGCAGGCTCAGGCCGCGGCCCACGATGTTTGCGTCCTCGTGCTTGCCGAAGCCGCGGAAATAGAAGGGCTGCTCGTTGACGTAGAGCCGGTCGGCATCCCAGGCGACGGTGCGCACGCCGAACGGCTCCCTGTATACATCGAGCTCGTCGGCGCCGCGGATGCCGCGCTGGCGCGTCATCTGTACCACCTCCAGCGAGTAGAGGTGGCCGGCCGGCTCCCCCATGCCCACCGGCCACCAGAGCGTGGCGTTCGGGATCGTCACCATGCCGCGCACGCGCCCGTGCTCCGGCAACAGCACGAGCACGGTCGTGGCGACCACGCCGCCGAGTCCGTCCAGCACGCGGACCAGGCCCGGCTCGTACAGCTTGTCGTCGGTGCGCACCACGTCCACCTCGTAGCTGACGAAGGCGGTCGGCTGAGGCCCAGTACCGGCGCTAAAGTTAGTCGTGATGAAGATGTCGTTGATGAACACGGTGCGCGGCGTCGTGTACAGCTGCACCGAGCGGTGGATGCCGGCGTAGTGGAAGTACTCGAAGTTGTACGTCTGCTCGAAGTAGCCGGGTGGGTAGCGCTCCTCGTCCGTCTTGAACGTGATATGGCCTTGCGGTATGGTCTCCAGGTCCAGCGTGTTGTTCACCGCGACGGTGACCCAGTTGAAGCCGCCGGACAGGTCGAGCAGCGTGCCCACCTCGAGCTCGAACGGCAGGTGTCCGCCCTCGTGCGAGCCGGCCACCTCCCCGTTCACCCAGACTACGGCGATGTAATTAACGCTGCCGAAGCGGAGCACCACGCGGCGGTCCTTCCAGGCGCTGGGCACGTACAAGCCGCGGTCGTACCACGCCCAGCCCACGTAGTCACGCACCGCGCGCTCCGTGGTGATGTCGTTGAAGCTGCAGGGCACCGGCATGTCGATGACGTCGCCGGACGCCTCCAGGCGACGGCTGTACCAGCGGTCGCGAAAGCCGACATCTGGGTCGCTTGGCGGCGAGACGCGGAACTTCCACATGCCGTCCAGCGAGACCAGGTCACGAGACTCGGAGGCGCGCGGGTAGAGCAGACCCACCGCCGGCCGGCACACGCTCAGCAGCAGCAGCAGCAGGGTGAAGCGCGGAGCCATGGCTGCGGAGGAGTGGTCGCCGCCACTCAGACCAGCCCGGACAGCCACCGACCGGCGGGGAACCGCAGCCCGGCGGCACCGACAGACGCGCTCGACAGGGGCGCGACCCGGGCGCTGTCGGACGGCGCTCGTCACGGACCCGGCTGCCACGCCCTGACCGCCCGCGGCGTCACTGGCCGGCTCGCGGGGCGCCGGTCCGCCGTACCTGCCGGCCACCCCACTTCAAGCCGCGATCAATCCGCCACGGCGCGGGGAGGGCAGGCGTCGGCCGGCCCTGTCGCCCGCTGTGGCGGCTAGCCCCGCTCACTGCCGCCTTCTGAACCCAGCGCTCCGCAGATACGAGAGACGATAAGCACTGTCAGCTGACGCCGCCGAGGGAGGAGGCACCGCACACGGATCGTGGCCAGCGCTGTTGTTCTGGCCGGCGACTGCGCGGCAGGCCGCGGTCCAATGTGTAATGGAGCCGGTACAGCACGTGGGGCGGCTGCTGGTCTGCGTGGCTCCGATGTGACGGCCCGGTACTAATCGGTCAAGGTCAAAAACAGATTCGTGCTCCAACAGGAGCTTCTTGTGACGTGATTATGGTGACGGGAAAGCACAATGGCATACCTTACACAATGGCATACCTCACGTGCGTATGCATGCCATTACCTTTGGGATTTTCACACTTCACGTTAGGTCAGGTAATATGTATATATGTATATATGTATATATATATATATATATATATATATATATATATATATATGCATATCTGTTCAAACTCACAGCAGAGTCATCTTTTTGTGTTTTCTCAATAAATTTGATGACAACTCTTACCTCTTTACAATGTTCGCTTAAATTGGCACCAAAGCTGGTGATACAAAGAAAACATAGTTTGCTATACTGTATGACTCGGTATCAGTTATGTTTTCAACGTTTCATCTTTCACTAGACATGTTCTTGAGTGACAGTTTTGGACAAAGTCGATATAATTGCCTATTTGTAAAATTCAAATTCTCCCGCGACAAGGACCTGCAAGAAGGACCTCATGTCCAACTACATCAGGTTTTTTGTAATACCGGTAATGCCACACACATATCACATACATATCACAACGCAGACATAAGCGTTTACACATTACATATGCTCATCATTGACAGGTAACAACGCTGATCCGCGACACGCGAAACACTCAATGTTCCTGTGCTCCTAGCCCTAATGGTGGCCCTCTGTACAGATGGAAGGCTTCACGCGCATTTGCCTATTTATGAGAGCGTCCCATTCGCGGGTGTGTATCGCTTCTAGAGCGACGAGTCTTTGCCTTTGCGTGGAGCGTGGGATGACGGCGCTGTTGTTGAGCACTTGGCGTGTCAGGTGGGTTTTGTGTTGGATCTCCGTGTGTGTGCGCGGGCCGCCGTTTTGTTGGTGCATGGTCAGACGTCTGGAAATTGTCGTTGTGTGGCCAATATCAGCTCTAGATGACAGCGGCGCACAGTCTCCTTTGTGGCGTTTGTATTGGTAAAACTATCATTTTAAGTTATCTCAATTTTATTTTCATTTTTTTAGTTGATGAATTTGATTCCTTATATTCCAATTTTCTTGTTGCCAAACCATCGAAAAAGATCATCAGTCCGCTGTGATTTTCAATACAATTTGTGTGAGGAATAATGTGCTTCTTAAGTTTATGTACACACACACACACACACACACACACACATATATATATATATATATATATATATATATATATATATATATATATATATATATATATATATATATATATTATATATATATATATCATATTGTGCATCTGTTTCCTTATTGGTACGGTTTTCTGGACTTCTTATCATCTATTAACCATTATTCAAGAAATTATGTGAGATATGTTGTGCTATGTAGATGCCTAAGAGCAGCCCGTGGCTCACGCCCCACTCTGAACATCAGGATTGATAATACCATCATCATAGCCAGGTGCACTAACACGATGAGGCTCATAACGTGCTCATGCCCATGAATTTTTCACTCTTTTAACGAGTGAGTGAGTGATGTAACAAGCCGAAGCTAGCGAATGTTTAACGAGCAGAAGACCCGAAAAGACACTTTGTGGATGGTTTTCGAGCAAACGCACAACTACAAATACGAATACAAATGCCTTATGGTCCCTT